AGGTCCCAAACCTTCTCTAGTACGCTAACTTTTAGATGGTAGAGTTCATGTGTGAAGGAATAGGAGTTTGCTTCTTTAAAATTTGATGATTTAGAACTATTCATAAGAAAAATTTATTCTTCTTTTAATTTCTTCTTTATTTTCTTAATCATGAGGTTCAACTGAAAAAAAACAATATTTACGAAATTATCATATATACATACATTTGTTAAGGATAATCTTTATTCAATATATATTTTGAAATAAACTATTATCGTCTTATCATTTTTAGAAATTTACTTACAACAGTTGGACAAATTCTATCTTTTTATTCTTTCCTATCCATTCTCTTCAGTCCTAAATTCACATTCATTTTGGATAAACAAATAAACAAATTCGATAAATCAATTTTCTTTGAATCTTTACTTTTGAGTAACTTTTCTTTAAATCCAAATAAAATGCCTGATGTTTCCATTCTAACCTTCTAACTCCTACTAGCCTAACTATCTGTGCATTTCTACCTGCGCACTGTGCAGTGTGCATAAACTTTCAAATCTTACAAACTATAAATATACATAAAACATGAGGAAATAAATCACAATATTATTTTAATACATCATGTCCAGGAAGGTTTAAATGTTCTCCTGTAGGCTGGTTTGTATGGAGGTTTCGCTAATTAGGCCCGCGTAATTATTGCTACATTTCGTGAAATTACTTTTGTAGAAATTACGCGAAATTGAAGTTTCGCTAATTAGGCTTAATCATTACAAAATTTCGCAAAATAACGTTGTAGAAGTTACGCGATATTACACTGTAATTTACCGAAATTGAAGTTTCGCCAATTACAAGAAATCCTGCAAAATTATACAATATGAAAATTATTTCGGGTAACTGCACATATGTTGAGTTGAGAAAGGGGATGATCTCGAAATGGGGAGTGAGAACTATTGTGGTCAATTTCCCAGGCAAACAAGTGGGTATACATTTCCCAAACTTTGGTCCAGTCAATTCTAGGTCCTAAGTTGGCAATAGAATGTTGGCAATATTAGGCAATAGTTAAAAAATAGTAGGCAATTGTTGGCAATAGTTGGCAATAGTTGGCAATATTTGGCAATAGTTGGCAATAGTTGGCAGAAGTTGGCAATAGTTGGCAATAGTGGGCAATAGTAGGCAATAGTTGGCAATAGTTGGCAATAGTTCCAGAGGTCTTCACAAATTCGCCACATATCCATAGAAGATAATACAAGTAGTTGGTTTATTTCAATCCTATAAATAAGTATGGTTAACAACAATACATTGATATAAATTGATTGATACATAAATGTTTACAATGTTTTTTTATATTATAAAACATCCTTTCTATTTGAGGATGGTGGGGTAAATTGAGGCATCTGGTTATCAAGAATAAAACAACATTTAAACTTCTAAGATAAAATGACAATTGATTTCAAATGTAAAATCACTATTTTTAAGTGTTATTTTTAACTTTTTTGAAGCGAGGGTACTGCACGTGAAAATTGTTTATACTGTTCAGTGGAGGTAATGCTTGCTTTGGTTTCCAGAGAAAATTTCAGTCAAAGACGACTTAACAATGGAGCAATCTCATTGTTTAGGGTTAACACTGGCCCCAGGCGGGGTTCGAGGATATCAGGGCTATATTCGAGAAGAAAGGGTAACCATAAACAATGCAAAGGATAAACTATTACATTATTGAATGATAGCTACATGGTTGATTGAATGATAGTAACAAACATAATACTAATAGTTATTTTTAGGTACATTAAATTAATACTATTGAGTACGAGTGAATAAATGATTAAATAGTTACATTGTCATCAAACTGATTTATTCTTTTTTGTTTTTGTTTATTTTAATGACGTTGTTGAGATATTATTAGGTAAATTAAATTGTATTGAAATCTCCCACTAGGGGACGTTTAAACGAGCTTAAAATGGATATATTGGATGAAATATAAAATAGACGATCGTTTAACGAAATAAAAAAGCGATTTTTTAACGTTTGTTTTTAAAAACGATTAACAACCCTGTCAATCAGAGTCCTGAGAATCAACACAACATAAACGTACATAAACATAAACATTTGTANTTTAATTTCTTATTGTAATACAAATCTATAACATTTTTGGAAATCTTGAGCTCTACCTCAAAAATCTAAAAAAAAGCAAATTAGCAATAATCTAAATATTTATTGCAAAATCTAGTCATTAAGCAATACATTGGGAAATTGCAGTAAATTGTACATATTTGAAAAGCCTTTGACCCAGCGAATTTAAATGTGCAAAAACATTTACAAAATTTTAAAACCTAAATGTGTCTTTAAGAAAAACAGAAAATGTGCAAATTCCCTTTGATGGCGTCTGTGCAAAAATCTGCACAAAATTCATTTGCAAAAATTGTGCAATCTGCTTTTTTTTGTTATATGCTTTCCAAAGAGCTATAAAATGTTGAAATTGAAGAAGGTTTGAATCTGAATATAGATCTAGTCTGGTATCGGTAAAATAAGGCATCTCAGGCAGTAGGCATAAAAGCCCAGCTTTTAGCCTTAAGTGAGGGGAATGTGTTAGTTGGAAAAGCCAGAAAATGAGAGCTTTCTAGCTCAAATACTTGTTGAGCTATCGCAAAAGAAAGGATAGGGGGGGTCAAATTGCCCCCCCCCCCGACCAGCTATGGTTAAGTCATATAAGCTTTTTTTAAAGCCACCTCTAACCATTAAAGTTAGAGGTCTTTTTTCAATGAGTTGGCCTTAAAAAGTTGAACTCAGGACAATGGACATGTATCACACTCTCCTATCTCGAAGAAAAGTGCAAACTCCCAAGGAAACAGCCCCCCCCCCTCATGATATTAAACAAAAATGGGACAGGGTTAAACGAATATGAATATCTGGGTTACAGATGAAATAGTTTTGTATGCTTCATATGTAGAGTCGTTAATCGTTTCTGAAAACAATTGTTAAACGATCGTTTTTTGTTTTGTTTTCCTATGATTTTCAAAAACTATTGTTTCGTTTTTGGAAAAAACCTTTTTTAAAAACAACCCACTCTTTTTGAACTTTAAGAAAACGAATAATGATCGTTTCTGAAAACTATCATTTTTATAAAAACAACCAGCGATCGTTAACCAAACAACTGACGAACTGACGTTTTTAAAAAAAAACACACATGCAACTTTATGGAATGTCGTCTTATATGAAGGTACAAAATGGGGGGTGCGCTGAAACTTCTTGATATTTTCTTTAAAACTGCTTAGGGCTGTTTCCTCTCTCCTCTTCTCTTCGTTAACGAAGAGTTATTGTTAACGATCGTTAATGAAGGGGCGTCATTTATGATTGTTAACGAAACGGCGAGCTCTATAAAAACGACCATTTTGCAAAAGGATTGTTTTTAAAAAAGATCGTTTTTAAAAAAATGATCTTTTTTAAAATGATTGTCTTGTTTCGTTTTTTGTTGTCGTTTTCATAACGAAACGATCATTCAAAAAAATGGAAACGTTATTATCCCTAATCATATGACAGATGTCAATAAACTTAATTTTTATTAGTTTTGAGCTTTTTGGCTTAGGCATTAATTCTAATTAAGTTATTTACTATTCGTAAATAAAAATAAACAACGTATTTAAATCTGTCAAATTCATTGAGCAAAAATTTGTGTTAAAGTATCTTTTAGCATTTAAGACTATAAATTATGAAATTAGTAGTATATCAACCCTATTGAGGAGGGGGGGTGGGGTCTAAATCTATGCGCCCCACGCCCCTCCTCCCAGAAAAAGGCCTTAGAGAATAGGTATTGGGTTGAAATGCATAATAAAAGCCCAATTTTTCATTGACAAAAAATTAGATCTATAACTTTTATAGTTTAGGTGTTAAAACAATTGTCAAAGTGTGATATATGTTTTTACATCCATTTTTCAAGGGCTTTTCAAAAATATAGTTTTTAGATCTGTAGCTTTAGTCATATTAGATTTTTTTTACACACACCGGGCTCTTACCGCTCTTACCCTGCCATATGCATAAAAATAAAATTTACAAAAGTTCTTTAAATTTCTATTTATTAAAAGTCAAAAAAATTCACGACGATAGTGTCAAAAAACTGTTTGTCCATTTTCTTTATTCATAAAATCTGACGTCAAGGCTCAGTTTACATCCTCCTGTTAATAACATAATTATTTAATTGAAAATTTAAAAATTTAAGAATCAGTTGTTTACCAGCAATTATATGAACAGAATTATGATCATATAACAAAATATGCATGCCATAAAATGGGGGGGGGGCTGTTGGTCATATCTTAATTGTAAGGTAGGGCTAGGCTTGTTCTTGATTTCTATAATTGTTTGTTCCAATTTAATAATGAGGGCCTTCAGCTGGATCGTTAATTATTTTTACGTTTTTTTTTCTTAATTTTTTACTTTTAAAAGAAGGAAGGTTCTTAGTCTTACTGCGTTTATTTATTTTTAAGAATACATTGGTTGTTAACTGGAAATCACATTTGTAAATTGGTAAACTACCATTTTCTGTTAATGACATGTGTTTAAGGCTTTATAATAAAATCAATTGTTTTTTAAGAAATAACTATTTATATCATTGTTATTTTGGTTTGCAGTGTTATAAAGTTTCGGGATAGAAATTTCTCTTAATCAAGAAGGTTCAAGCCTTTTTATAGATTTAATTTTGTCCTGAGCAAGAACCCTCAAGATTTAGAGAAAAGGAATTGAGTATTTGCCACAAACTCTGATTTTCTAATCCCTATATCTTTACAACCCAATATAATAGATATTTCATATTTCAAACTTTAAATTATGTTAGATCAAATAATTTAAGTTTGAAATATCAAATGTTTTAACCATCAGGTTGTAAAGATATAGAAAGTTAACAGTTTGAGTTTGTTGCAAAAACTCAGTTCCTTTAAGTGAAAAAACTTTATAACTTTGATAATAAAGAATATTTTGTTATCTACTGTTTATTAATAAATTTTACATTTATGAATAAATATATTTTCTGACTCATAAATACAAAATACAACATACAAAAATATAAAAATTCAAAAACATTTACATTGGTCGGAATACATTACAATTAGGCTTACAACTAAATAATTTTAATAATTGTATTGCACAGGAACAGATTTCTTACCACAAAAGCTAACCTCAATATCCTAATATCCTTTGATATTTCAGAAGTAGATCAAACAAGAAATTTTGACAAAGCAAAAGTTAGTGGTGAGTAAATAGTTACTTTTTCTAACATAGACAAAGGAATATATAGAAACAGTTTAGGATTGCTTTAGATTTATATAATGAACAAAATGTTGAATGGTTTCACTTTTTAATGTGTATCATGTCATTCAAAAGAGTAAGGACGCACTCCCGATGATGCCAAGGTTTTAGGCGAAATATATTGAGAAGAAAATGATAAAATTCTAGTGCTAGAGAGTAGGATTGGGATTTGTTTTAAATCGATCTAAAGTTTAATCTTTGTCAGTAAGAAGAAAATTTTCTTTAAAAGTGCCACAAATAAAGTTATGAAAAAAATTATAATAAGATAAATAAAAATCAACATAATTTTCTAGAAGATAGCATTTTTAAAGATTAATTTGGAAGATGCTGACTTAACAAGGATATAGATCAAGAGTAGCATGTGTAAATAGCATAAACTTTCAATATACATATAAACGTACATAAACATACAATAATAATAATTCCAATGATAGGTTTGTTTCAAATCACATTCTTTAGTTTTGTGTAGACAACACCAACACAGAGAGGTACTTTTCAGGAGTAGCAAGTCACAGGTTTAGGGAATACGGTTACATCTATCGATCCTAGAATTAAAAATCTTGAATAAGCTTTTTATAAATTTAATATTTTTTTAGCAATTATGAGAAATCTGATTTCTTGATGTGAAAGTTAAAGTTTAAAAGTATAAAAACTTACCCTTGACTGCAATTCTCTTAAGTGTCTCTGCTTCTTTGTGTGGATTTTTTCTTGGATTGGCTTCCGTCCTCCTTTTTAGTCCAAATCTGGCGGAAGGTCTGAAACAAACAAAAAATGTACATTTTTAGTTTAACAAAATTTGCAGAAAGATCAAATATTTCAAGACATAAGAATTTTTATGTAAGTTTACTTTTGTTTTAAATTATGTACAGTGTACACTGCAATTTTATTATCCCTATATGTTTAAAACATAATAATTATTAGATCCCACAGAATTCATATTTTGAAATATCTTTAAAGTCTACGGCATTGAGTTGCAAAGATTTAAGGATAAGAAAATCTTTGTGGCAAAGACTCAATTCCTTTTAAAAAGAAATAGAGAAACCCAGCAAAAGTATAAAATAAAAGAATCTACATTTACTGAGATAAGTGTTTTCAAAATTAAACCGGGCATCCTAATTAATATGAACAAGAATATCTAAAGTTAAGGATTAGAAGACTTCTATACCTGACTGTAGTTAGTGTTTAGGAATCCGTAGATGATGGGGTTAGAGCAGGATGTACTCATTCCACACAGATGACAGAGAGAATACACTAGTGCGAGAATTTCAGGATCCTAAATTTTATATTAATTAAAATTGGGTTTTTGAATAATGTTCAACAATTATTATAAAAGTAGACTTTTCTCTCTGTGTAATGTGGAGATCTATGAATATCGTCTTCCAATCCGTAAGCTTTCGAATCCAAACCCAATATATTTGTAATGATTTATAAAAACTCATGTTGTATTTTAGATTTCAATATATATACAGTACGTACAGTAAGTACAGTATATACAGTATTTGTTCTATTGCTTGATTATGTTGCTTAAGTTTTTAAGACTATGGATTAGAAGAGACAAGAATAAAAAGAATATCATACCTGGATAAAGTCTGGGAATACAATGACGAATATATTGTAGAAGTTCAACGGAAACCAGGACACAAAGAACACAACAGCAGCAGCAATTAGCATTCTGTTGATGTGAGTTGTCCGCTTTAGCTTCCTATAATATAATTAATATGAAATGAATTAAGTAAATAAATATTCTAAATTATGCAATTATATTTATTAATCTTGTTTTAGCTTATCTGCCAGCAATTGCTGACTTTTTTTTATTTCTTTTCTCATTTAAATTGCATTTAAAATAAATTTGTTTACCTGATGCGTGTGTCTGTGGAGAGAAAGACTTGAGTTCTTGACAGTGAGGCTTGAAGGTTTCTGACGATGCTGAAAGATAAACACAAATAAGACTTAAAGAGATATTACATATGAGACATTTAACCCTATCCCTGCTGGGGTACTTGAAAACCAGGATATTCTAGGGTCACATCCCCTCTAAATCAAATGTTTAATTTCCAAATATGACAAATGATACATCTTTTAGAATCTGCAAAAATCTTTGGCAAAATAGCAAAATTTGATTTTTTTGAAAAATTCAGTTTTAAAGTAAAAACTTCAAAATTTAAAACAAATAAATGTAAAAAAAATGGTAAATAAATTTTAAATAACCTAATGTGAAATTAAGAAAAACTAAAAAAGTGCAAATTTGCAAAAATCTCTTTGCAAAACTTGTGCGATCTGTTTCCTTATGTTATAGGCTTTCCAAAAAGCTAAATATCATTAAAATCAGACAACTAAAATTCATTCAGGTACTACTCAGGTAGTTAGTTTAAAAAATCTGTTATACCTAAAGGGAAGGCTATGGGTATTTAGGAAAAGTCAGAAAATTTCAACAGCCTCAAACCAATACTTTTTTAGTTATGCAAAAAAAACCACAGGGGGGGGTCAATTGGCCCCCCCCCCCAGCAGAAATAGGGTTAATAAATATAAGTTGCCGTGGGTTTACTAGAAAGAATCAACATAAAATTGCATTTGAGCAAGAGACGGCAAAAAGTATCTTTCATCTCACTTTTCATCTAATTTTTATCTAATATAAGGAATTGAGTCTTAGCTACAATCTCAGATTTTTTGAATCATTGCAACCCAATGAAACAGATCTTTAATATTTCAAATTATGAATTCTGTTATATCAAATAATCATGTTTAAACTATCAACGGTTACACCATTAGGTTGAAAATATATAAGCATTTGAGTTTGTGTCAAAGATTAATTCCTTTGTTGTAATAAACATTTCTCTTTTCAAAGAGCATTCTTACCACAGGTATGCAATGAGAACAATGATCAAAGGCAGAACATATTGAAGAAGAGCGCATGCTGTAGCGTAAATCAGTCTATCCTCAGAAGTCTCCCAAGTCTAATAAGAACATCAATTATAATTTATGTCATATGGGATCAAAAAAAATAATCCTTTGAACTTGAAGTGAAAAATTAGACTAAAAACTTACATCTTCGCAAACAGTATCGTCATTGAAGTAGGATGTGAGATCAGTAAAGATGAAGATTGGAGATGAGATTGCAACAGAGCAGACCAGGGAGAATAGAGAGAGTCCCAATGCCTAGATAGAAGGGGGTGTTAAAAATAGTAATTAGTTTTATCAAGAAACCTTATAGATGGGGCTCAATTGTTAGCTAGGAAATCTATCTAACAAGGCACTGTGTTATTTAACATAGATAAAGCATTGAAAATGAGAAAGCTTAAGTTTCCTTATTAATTTATGATTAAAAAAGTCCCACCTGAGTAGTAGATATCTGCACACTGCAGGGTCGAATCACAAAGAGGAAACGATCAACTGCAATCAGCACCACAGAGAAGGTTGAGAAGAATATGCAGGTTGATTGAATGATTCCAATTGATTTGCACAGTAGGTACTGAACAGAATTTGATTATCATCATTATCATATTTAGTATTCAGAAATTTGGTCTGTAATGTGTTTTCAATAAAAGTACATTATTTCTATTTGTATTTACTAACTTGTCTTTTGTACAATGAAAAATTGAAGCATTGTTAGCTATCAACTTTAGATAATTCTTTGTTAAAAACCAAATTTTAATTACCCGTGATTCTCCGAAGACCCAGTTTGTGTGAAGCTGGTCTAGCAGGGTTAAAGGCATTGTGAAAGAACACAACAATATGCCAGCAACAGCCATATTCATGATCAAAAGGTTTCGTGTGGAACTTAGCATCTAAAATTTATTAGATTATAATATTGTTACTGAATTAAATGCATATTTCTGTATCTTATACAAAATTCAGATTAGTACACTCTCAAATTAATAACATATATTAGCTAGGCTGTAAACATTATTTGAAACACAAACAATATATAAAATTATAATTTCAAGATAGCATTTTTTAAATCATATTTTCAAGTTCAAACTTACCTTGCTCTTGAGGCATCCCCACAACACTAAAAGGTTTGCAGATAAACCTAGAACTATCATCACAGTGTAAGACACTATCAGAGCAATTGCCAATTGTGGGCCTACTCTAAAAAATTAAATAAATTGTTAAAATGAAATCTAATTATATGTCAAGTTGCTAATTCTTTACTTTTAAACAAAAGAAGTTCCAAATGCAAATGCTAAATGGATACCCTATATTCTTACTGTTTATGTACATATTTCTGGTCTCTGTTGACAAATCATCCCAAGACAAAATTTTTGTGTTCCTTTCACTGAAAATCAAGAATTAACGCTTGATCCTTTACTTTAGTGATCATTTGCCATGTAAGTCAGGATAGAAATTGTATTTTATTAGTTACCTTTTTCTTATTGTGCCACTTTCCATGGGTTCATCAGTATTATTTACATTAGAGCTCATGTTGAAATTGTCCTAAAAATGAAAAGAAAATTATTATAGATTCTAGAATATTTAAAATGTTAAGCTAAAATGTTAAGTGTTACCAATAAATTCTGCCAATCTAAAATTGGGAAAAAAATTGTGAAAGAGACATTTTTGACCGGAAAATTTTTTGGTAAAAGTTCAAATAAAAAACTTAATAAATTGAATTTTTATAAGAACTAAATAAAAAAAAACTGGTATCTGTAGGTATGTACATGTACCTGTATGTACTATGTACATGTAATTTACTGCACCAGTGCTATTTACCCCACTGGTGCCTGCGCTTACCCCACTTGGTATCGGAAGCATACATCCCTTACTAACAATTAGATGATAACCTGGAAAAAGATGCTAGTGGCTTTTTTGTTTTTGATTTTTTTTATGAAGGAGATATTAGTAGTGAAAATGTGGTTGGGGTCTAAACTTACTTTTATGAACAATAACAAGCTCCACTTAATTCTGAAGAGTTGAAATTTTTTGTTCATTCAAATTAGAAAAAAGGTTTGCAATGTTCCTATTTTCATAAATTTTTTTATGAAAGATAATACTAAACTTTCAGGATAATCAAACAAATCTTTAGTTTTACATAACGCTTTTTTAACATTAACCTTAAATGCTTAAACAAATCACAAACATAATGCCCTGTATTTATAGGAATAAGATAAGGCTGACATATAGTTAAATACACTTTTAAAGGTCTATGTTTTCAAGTGCATACTTGGACAGTTGCAATTTGTAGGATTCTGCAATTATGTTTCGGTTAATTAGTGTCCAGGCCTTTCAAGCAGTATACTATGACCAAATAAATTTCCAAATAGGTGATGAAATCCTTTTGATAATTTCTTAAAGAGTTGCTATAACAAAAATTATGTTGAGGGTTCAAAAATTAGAATTGTGGAACAAATTGATTTAGCTGAAAAATTAAATTATATGTATGGAAAAAGTTAAGGCATACTTCAGCATTATTTAATCAGGACCAAAGCTAGATATTTGGTTGAACCATCTGCAATCCTGAACTGTAAACTGTCAAACCAAATTGCAATACCAACCATTTCTGAAAAGATGGCAACACTGCTGACTAATAACATTCTCTAACTTGTTAAAGAGGTATAGGTATATGAATAATGACCTTCTGGAATGTTACCCTGCTGTTTTATCAGAATGATAAATTTCTTAAGATGAAAAGATAGCATGCAGGAAGCTGTAGCCGTATCAGAAAAATATGCTGGGACCTGTCTGCAAGCGACAACATTAATGAGCATCAACAAATGTTACAGATGAGATCAGTGGATTCCTCATCTTTAATACATTAGTTCCGTAAGTAATTGGTAAGTAGCCAAATCAACACTTTAATAAAGAATTGTGTTGGGAAAAACTTATTGTGATGAGCCTCCATGCTGAATGGGGAGGAATTATAGCTGGGTTTCAATTAATACCTGGTTAATCTTCAAGCTTAATAATAAAATTAACCCTAGAGATTCCGAACGTTCACAATATGTTCTGAAAGGCCCAAGTGGCCAAGGAAATAAACCACTTCTTTTTATAACTATATGAAAAAAATTTTCATGTTTTTATCATTTTCTTATGTGTGTTTAGAAAAGGACAGAAATCTGCAGATTCAGAGAGAATTATTACACTAAATTCTCTTGTCTAAGACAAGAAATTCAAGTTTGTTGCAGTTGGAGTTGGTGCAGTGGATCCAGATTCTTCAGCCGGCCTACACAGTATAATGGATTAAACTGTAAACAGCCTGAAATGGTCAATAAATTGTTAGACATGAAATATATCCAAAAACATTTACCAATTACCATTTCCAGTTTTTTCCCTTATAAATGTATGGACTTCTTAATCAAGCTTCAATTGAGTTTACTACAAAATCAAAAATAAAATCAATTTAGAACTGGAAAAATTCTCCTGAAACTAAAATTTTCTAATTCCAATATCTTTGAACATGATGGTGTAAACCTACAATACTTAAAAATTTAACAATTTGATCTAGCTAACAAAATTAACTGAATTAAGTGTAGAAGGTCTACAACATTTGCTTAATAAGATGTACGGATTTAAAATAAAAGTTTGAGGCAATTGTTTTGTTCTATTGCCCATGTTTTTGATACAGTAAAGCTATGCCTCAAACCAAAGAATACATTTCTTACAGATACTTTTCTCAAAATACTGCTAATTTAATACTGTTCCTAATGTATGTTTATCATGGGGTACATTTCACATAAGGTACATTTCTCATAAGATATATTTTTTATAACCACATGCTAAGCATTGCCACTGTAAAAAAAGAAAAGACTATGTACATCAACCTCTGTAAACTGATCAGCATTGTGTTGGGTTTACCAATTGTCTAGCCTTAGTCCTTAGCCCTGATATGTATTAACCTAGCCTAACCGAAAGAAAAATTTTGGGTAAATTTTTAGGTTAGGCAAGCTTAATGAATATCCGGCAAAATTTCTGCTGATAGTGTCATCATCAAAATGTACTTTACAAGAAGTGTAACTTATGAGAATCGTGCCTTATGAGAAATGTATCTTATAATAAAAGTGTGTTAAGAAAAATATCTATAGGAAGTGTGTTATAAGATCTGAAGCGAAGCTCTCAGATACAAGTATATTTTAACATATATATATATATATATATGTATGTACAACAATCTTCTAACTAACAAACTTCCCAACAAAATGATTAGTAAAGCCTGTTAATTTCATACAAAAAAGTTGAATAACAAAAAGTTCAGTTACATCTTGATCTTTTGATTAAATTGTAAAATTTGATCTAGATTAAGGGAGAGTGCTTATGAAAATTTAGAAGGCTATAGGATGAACTTTATGACAAAAATATATTTGAAGCCATTTATTAATTGATGCATTAATCAAAATTAAAAGTTAAGAGTTAAAAGTACATTCAAAAGTCTTTGTGAAACCGTAAACAGTTTAAAATAATTTTTTTTTGTGGAAGGTACTGTAGAAATAAAAAACACTGCCAACTTTAAGCAAACTTGACAATTTGAATTATTGGCATAAAATAAATTGCTTCCAATGGGGCTGCTAAACTCTCCTATACATTGCTGCACTAGTGGTTACTCTAACCTATATCTAATATTTCAGAACAATACATAAAAAATACGAAATATCATCTTTCCTATCCACTTATACAAATATTTTATATATGTACATGAAAACAGATATTAAAAACATTTAAACGAAAATTTAAATTAACATTAATGATTTTTTTTTCTAAATTTTGAATATATTAAGCTTGGCTTTTTCTTTGCTTACCCAAAGAAAAGCTCTGCTCTGAATTTTGGCATAAACGATTCAAAAAGTTCAACATTTTTAGATTAATTTCAATATTGAGAACTTAATGGGTGTGACTTCGCATGACAGAGTCTAAAACTAAAGAACGAAAAGTTTTGACTTAAATTTTAAGTTCATGGTTTAATGGACTTAATTTAAACCTGAACTTTAACCGTGAGGTTAAATATTTAACCCTGTGGTTAAATATTTAACTCGCCGAAATCGACGAGTTAAAATTGAAACACAGGTTTAAAATCTTGAAATCCTGCATTTTCCCTATTTGTCTATTATTTCATCATTCAGCTGAGAAAGTGGCATTCAACTTTACATTATATTTAAAAGTGAAAACCTTGTTAAGGAAATTTCACGTTTTAGATTAATTAATTTTTGCATGTAAACCCAAAATATGGTTGTAACTAGAAATATGTTTTGTTTTCGGTTACGTAATCAGCTGATTAGCGATGGTTATGTAATATTCTCCGTAAATCCTTTTCTCTGATTGGTTCAGATTTTTCCCGGGAAATTCAAATTTAAAATTGAGAAAGTTTAATATTTAAGTAGCTATTCATTATTTTACAGAACTTTTAACCTCAAACTTAAAATTCGCGCATTCTTTAGTTTTAGACTCTGGACTGATAATACAAAAACATGCTAACAAACACATTGTGAGTATTTACTTTTTCAGAAAGGAAAATAACAATAGAAAACCATGAATGTAAGTTTAGCTTTAAAGTGAATTATTTTAAATTGTTTTTGGCTGTTATTGGTTGAAATAAAACTATTTAAAATAAGAAAAATGTCTAATGATATATTTGTCAAAAAAAAATATCAGAGAACCTCTACCAAAACATGCTTTTTCACAACTTTCTTTGTGGCGCATTTGTTAAATTTGGTAAAATAAAGTGTTGAACACATCAAATAATCAATCTATTTTTGAAAGAGTCCACAAACAAAGTTAAATTAATAATGCTGAAACGTTTTCTTACCAAGATTTATCCTGTTTGGAAATTAAGCACACATTCCATATAATTCCTAATATTACTGTTACTTTTAGTTTATTTGAGGCTGACTAGAAGCTTACTAACCTCATCATCTGTTGAATTTGTTGAATTAGTGAGGCTGATGTCCACAAGAACTTCAAATATCTTTTTGGCTTCAAAATACATGCTAGTCTATAATGAAAAACAGTTTCCAAATGTGCTTTATTGTCTTTACTTAAATCACTTCAAATCATTGTTTGCAAATTCTTAAAAAAATATTTTAGCACTGCTAAGTCAGTGACTTTTCATTTTTTTTTAATCAAGTAAACAAAATGATATGTTTGTAACATACATTGGAAAAGAAAATTATGCAGTATTATGTAGTTTTAATTTGGATCAGGTTGAGCACTTGAACATTTTCAAATTTATACATAATGTATGCATGTCCTAATTATGTTGCTGATAATGTTAGATTTAGAAAAGTACAGGCTAAAACTCATTTACAAAATCACAATTTGTTTACTAAAATAGGAAAACTCCAGAAGCTATGTTGGTAAACCGATAATAATTAGATAAACTTTTGTCTATGTTTAATCCGGCTTCTATATATAAACTTAGCTTGTCTGTTTGTCTGATCCAATCAGGTCCAAATTTTGTGGAAGACCGCAGATGACCCCAGAAAAGGTTTATGAAGGATCAAATTTTAAAAATTAGTGATTAAAAATTTCTATTTTTGAATTTAGAAAACGCGTGAAAAAATATTATGAAATCCGCATACTTTTTTTGTTTTTGTTTTAAACTACACAAAGAGAAGATGCTCAGATATAAAGCCAAAATTAAAAGTTGAAAAAGAAGATGGGCGCTAAGCGCCTTAAAAGTCTAGTTTGGACAAAGTTAATTTCACAATCTTCCAACTAGAATATTTCAACTCTAAAGCTAGACTGGAAAGACTGGATAACCATTGAGAGCAGAGGACTGATTACAAATGAAAAGTATGAAGAGGATTAAAACCAAGAGAACTCTACGAGTAAACGAGAACAGGAGGCCCGCCTGATGGAAGAGAAAACATGTGCCGTGGAAATTATCGCAAGATATCTACGTAAACAGAGATCACTTTATTCCAAATGAATGAGACGTTTGTTAACTAATTTTTATTTTGATAAAAGGTAATTTGTAATACTGCAGCAATGTGACTTTAAACTGTACACATTTTGTAGATTTCAAAAATTTTAAATGTATTATCTTTAATACAAAATTACAGCTGACTTTGGTCAAGACGTCCCCCCCATACCCTCCCCTGACCCTATTTGGGTAAAGGGCATGCCCCACTTGCTACCTAGATTACATAATTTATAAATAGCTGGACCAAATTGACTTAAATATTTTGAGTGAATCAGTGTGTACCACAGTGGTGTTATAGTCAAAAAAGAAATTTAAAAATTCCAGGGGCGCTGCGCACTTCAGCTAAAAATATAATTTAATACTAAGCATGGGTAAACAGCGGGAGTACTCATAACCATTAATAAACTTTGATTTTGCCAGCCCGCAGTTGTTGCGTAAAACGTGCTAGGTCAACTCTACACAGGGTAGCCTAACTGGACAGTACAACTATATGCATATAGAGTCACACCGGACTAACCAGAGTGAGAAGCATTCGGTTACTTTTTTTTGAAATTAAACATGTTTTTGTCTATAACTCAATCATATTTAAACTTACGGATTTGTTTATTTTATACTTTATATACGTATATGCCAACAAAAAAGTATTTGAGTAAAAAAGGCTAAAAAATTCTGTATAAGGGGTAAAATTGTGATTGAAAGTTGCAGCTTTCTGAAATATTGACAGAACCGTTAAATCCACGTGGGGTAGTCCAGCCGTTTGGCCGGCTATAGGGAACATTTATACAAATGTCTTGTTTTATTATATAAATATAGATATACCTGTATGACAATTTTGTAGGGTTTCAGGGCGCAATGATAGAATTTGGCAGGCGATTAATGGGACTGTTAGCATATTTTCAATTGACTCTCTAATCTCTATGCAAACATAGGTTTTAATGGTACCTTCGTAAATCGGTCATTGCCCTCTTAGCATGGAGGGTCACTTGAAATTACGCTTACAGTTCCTAATTAATTGTCTGATATTAAATTTTGCTCCCTGAAACCCTGGTTCAAAAACCTGGAAATTTGAAAAAATGAATGTTAAAAAATGGAAAAACGTTTATTCAATTTAATAATTCATGAATATTTTATCTTAAGTCTGGTAATTACGCTGTGAAGATTTACTCTAACCTCCAGTAGAACCTAGAAAATTAGATAAATATTTCCTACTAATCCCACGTAAACGGAGTTGCCGGACGTCAGGGCTTACTAACTGGCTGCCTGTGGGGGGGAGGGTCAAATTTACCCCCTCCCCTCTATATTCCTATTGTGATTCAAATCTATAAAATTTGACACGTTTTTGGAAAGTCCTTAGGCTCTACTTCAATAATCTGGAAAAAAATGTCAAATTTGCAAAATTCCAAATATTTATTTCGAAATCTAGTTAAAAAGCAGATAATGTGCAAAAAATAATTGCAAGAAATTATACATTATTGAAAAGCCGTTAACCCAGCAAATTCAAATATGCAAAAACATTTGTAATATTTTTAAAACCTAAATGTGCATTCAAGAAAAACTGTAAATTTGCAAATTCCCTTTAAGGCGTTTTTGCAAAAATCTGTGCAAAATTGATTTGCAAAAATTATGCAATCAGCCGGCAGTAGGTCTAAATATAGNATTATAACTTATCATTATCATTATTAGTACTATTATCATTTTAATATAATTTTTACTATCAATATTATTTTTATATTTTATATTTATTATTATGTTTATATTTTGTTCACCACCTCAAACAATTTCTCTAATAATTCCATCAATTCTGTATCCGCCTGGCAACCTTAAATAAATTATAATTAAGTTTTCCAATTTCCAAACCCGAGTTTTTCTACCTGTGAGAGTAAAACCTTTTTTTGCCAGTTTGGACAATTTATAGTTAAAGTTTATTGTTGAGATTTGTTATAATAAGTGTCTATAAAGTAATTATCGTGCCATAAAGTTAAATTTATATAACGTGTTTTATAAAGTTTTGATTGGTTCCCGGATTTTCTCAAAAAATTTATGATATTTCCAAAACACTTGTTCCAATAAAAATGAAATTAAAATTGAAATTAACTTCACACGTTAATTTCTACTTATTTCTTACCCCTATTCCTTCTTGGGGGAGGGGGGGTCAATTTTACCCTCCCCCATGTAGTTTTCTTTACATAATTCAAAGATGCTGTCGAAATTTTCTGACTTTTCCTAAATACCCATAGCCCTCCTTTTAGGTTTTAACCAGGCTTTTTTACTAACTGCCTGAGTCCTTAGGAACACTGTCTAAATAACTATTTTTCCTCTAGCAAACTAAATTTCTGTTTGGACCCACTTTCATTTGTCAGATTTTGATGATTTTTAGCTTTTTGGAAAGCCTTTGACATAAGGAAACGGATTCCACAAGTTTTGCAAGAGAAATTGGCAAATTAGCTTAAAACAACCTGTCAAAAATATTTGCACAATTTTAGTTTTTCTTAATTACACATCAGGTTATATATATTTAAAATTTTGCAAATGTTTTTGCATATTTAAAATGGCACGGTCAAGTGCTTTTCAGAAATTTGTTTTTAATCATTTTTGGACATTTTTATTGCAAAAATTTTTACTGCATAACTAGATTTTACAAAAAAGTATATCATAAGAGCCAATAATGTATCATTTGTCATATTTGGACATCTTACATGAAATTTAGAGGGGGAGGGGTCCCGGGTCCCCCCCCCCCCCNAAAAGAAAGCGTTAAAAGGAAGAAAAAGAATTATACGAAAA